TGATTATTTTAAAAAGCTCCCCAGATGATTCTGTTGATAAGTGACATTTGGGGAACAGCCAGTAAGCAGCGGTTCTCAACCTGTGGGTCACGACCCCTTTGGCAGTCGAACGACCCTTTCACAGGGGTCGTCTAAGACCATCCTGCATATCAGATATTTACATGACAATTCATAACAGTAGCAACATTACAGTTATGAAGTAGCAACAAAAATAATTTTATGGTTGGGTCACAACATGAGGAACTGTATTTAAAGGGCCAGAAGGTTGAGAAGCACTGCGAGTAGAGTTTAGCCCCAAGCCAGTGTACCAGCACCCCCTTACAAGGCCCTGTCAAGTAGAGCCTCAGGCCATCTCTGAGCCCTCCAGGCCAGTAGATACAGGGTAGTCCATCTTTGGACAATTCTGTATAGTTAGGTCCCCAGTGAGCCAGAGCTGTCTATTGGCAGTTTCTGCTCTTGCTCCTTTGAGCTCTTCTAAACAAGTCTAGTTCTTCTCTATTTGACAGCACAGCCCAGAGTATTTGCATATAAGTTCTCTGTTCCCAGTAGCTTCGTTCATTGCTAATAAGAGATCACAAGACCTCTCCCTCTCCTGGCCACCCTCCCTTTGTTATGTTTGTATTCATCTATGATACAATGGAGTGTTCCAGATATGGCCTACCTGATGGAACTAGAATGTACCTGTGGTTTCCAGGGATCCAAAGGGATGCTATCAAAGGCCTCATGGGTAACTTGGCCTGAGGTGACCAACTCCATGTACTCTCTGCCTCATTCCTGTGGAGTCAGGAGTAACATCTGAGCTTGATGAGAGGTAAGAAATTCTGAGTTCATGGTTTAGTGTTTTGCACAGAAGCCCCAACTGCAAGATGGTACTTTTGTTTCCTTTATTGTCAGCCTGTTTTCCACTTTTGTAAGAATCCTGCAGAAAGGATGGGCTAGGGCAGACACCTGATTCCGATGCTTATTACTATCATGTCCAATTTGCTAGATTCTGTATTTTATAGAGTAGAAGCTGAAATTGAAGAATAATATGTCTTGATCACTCCCTTCCCAGCTTGTCATTTGAGTGGCTAAATTTACATGTCTCATTTCCACATGGCTGATACCTTATACCTGAAAATCTAGATTTATAAATGTTCAGTTTATAAATATTCTATAGGGAGCTTCCTCTTTGTTCTCCTGTAAGCCCTTATTCAGACTAAGGCCAGTTGTTTATATATTGCAAAGATATGATTAAGAATTTGCAAACTTTGAGCTTTCTAGGAAAGGTTTATATAAGCATTCTAGCTGTCCTTTAGTTTTAGGATATGCAGAATATAGAGAAGAAAGCTTCTTTTGTTGTTAGAAATTTGATTGAGATAACAGTGTGTCCCCGCCCCCCCCCTTTAAAGACTTTAACAGAAATGTACAAATCTATAGTAATAAAAGCATAATATGCTAATTAGACTGGATATCCTGGACGAAGCCGTGGCTGCGAGGGAAGCCCAGGTCCTGGGTGCCAGAGGGAAGCCAGTGCCGGCAGCCGGGGGAAGGAAGGCCTACTCTTGCACCAATTTTGTACATTGGGCCTCTAGTTATAGTATAAAAGGGAAAGTCTTCAAACAAAGCCAATTTAAGAGATTTTAATTGTATTGAAGTTGAAGAACCATTTACTTGAACGCCTAGCTGTCCCTAAGACTTTTGGAAATTAAGAGATTTTAGCCATTTCTGCATTTGGTGCTCTGATCTTCCTTAGCTTGTGTACAGGAGTTGTAATCACTGATTATGTGTGAAATAAAGTGGGAAAATAGACTTCTCCAAAAGACTAAAAATTAATCGAAAGCAAAAATGTACTTATTTTGACCATAAATATTTTTATTAAATGTGAAAATACAAGGGCATAAAAATAGTACCCATATGTGTAGACATGTCTGAGACCCATTTCAATTAATTTTCAGTTTCTTTATTAAAACACTAAACTGAGATGGATTAAGTTACTTAGTCTTCTCATTCAAAACCAGCTATACAGTCGTACAGGAGTACTATCTTAACTCCCCAAACATCTCCAGTTTTTACACTCTCCGCACTCTGCTTTCCACCAGGTAAGAGGTTCAACCACAGATGATTGCAACAAAACCTGTCAACTATACACAAGCCACGCAGTGGCTAATTTTATTCTTAAATCATTCAACAAATGAGATCATTCATAAAAAAAAAGTATCCCCATCTATTAACATAATTTGCAATTACAGAATAAACTCTGCTACTTCAAAAGGAATAATCTGATTTAGAATAAGGATATTATGCATTGACAAGTTAGCATTTGCCTTCTTTCTTCCTTTCTAAATATGGAAAAGTAAATTACATTCAACAAAGTTGCATGTATCTCTCTAGGTTATACTATTGATGTTTACTCAACAAAAAATCTTTGCAAGGCCTGTTACCAGTGCCCTGTACCCTTAAGGCAGTTGGCTCTAACAAATACCTGAGGAACCATTTTTAACTTAGGCATCTCATGCATTTTTTTCATGGTAAACCTCACAATCTTTGACCAACTTCATGCCTTTAAAGGTGAATCTTTCATTTTTCCACCATGAATAGAAAATGCCAGTTTTAAATTGTGATTCTGTTAACTTTGTTCCTACTCAGTTATCAGTATTTTTCTCTTTAAAACTTTGTGGATCATTTGCATTCTATTATCAAAGTCCCAAAGAAGTTCTGTTTCCATATTGGTATTTAGAATAAACTTTTAATACTGATTAAAGAGAAAGACATTTTAAAATTAGTAGTTATATCCAATTCACATCAGTAAACTATTCAAGTTGTTCTCAAGTTTTCATTTATCCAGTAAGAAAGCATAAACTTTCAGAAGTGGGCAATAAATTAATTTTCAGAACTTTTTCACATTTATAGGCTGATGTGTTTAATACTTGCTGCTGTGGAAAAGATCCACAGTGTAGAGACCAGAAATACTTCACTTGTGGAGCTCTCCAAAAGGGAGGCCTTAAGGGAATATAATACAGGTGAGGTTACGGGCCCCTCTGCACTCACTTTCCCAGAAAGAGCCATGAAGGTTACCGGACACTGCAGTCTCCAAAGAGACTCGAGAGTGGAAGTGCAAGTAGCCCCCAAACCAGTCGAGTGCTTCCTCAGTCGTCGCCTTCCATTGCACAGCGATCTTCAGGCTAGCAAGGAGACTCGCTGTCCTCTACACACCCATGTTTTCCTCAATCATGTAAGGGAACATCGAGTGACCGTCTTTCCCTTCAGGCGGATACCAGAAGACTGCTGATGCCCATCCAGGCTGGAACGTGAAGGTCATTGTTTTCTTCATTAATCAGCAAAACAAATTCCAAAGAATTAATTTCTCTCAGTGGCGTTGGCACTTGGCATCATAGATTTTACTCTTCACTGAAAACAGGCAAATAACTGCACATTTCAGTATGATGACTAAATTAAGTCCATGGTAAGACTTTATGAACAGGAATTATGGTTATTACAAGTGGAGAAAAAATAATGTACACAACCCAATGGGCAGCAATTGGCAGGCAGCAAGGTAACTTATGTCCCAGATGCATTTCCCATGTGGCCCAGCTCTCAACCCTCCTGACTTTTCATCCTCTCCTCTCAATAGAGGGCAAGTAATTTGATATTTCCTTTGTTCTCATTGTGTATGAAAATCCTCTTCTTGAAAGTAAATAGAGGCCATTGCTAGATTTCAAAGAGGTCACAGTGACATCAAGTACAAAAGAACCAGATTGAAAAAAATCTCTGATATAATTAAGTAATGCGATTACTGAAATAAACAAGGAATTTCCTTTGGGAATTATTTTCATATTAGCTTGAAATTTGAGACATTAAAACAAAATGAAAGCTGCAAGATGATCACTAGTTTTCAAAATGCATTGTTAAGTTTATTGGTAAGAGATAGACTTCAAAATAGATGCAAAAAGCACTTACGTGTTTTACCCAACTCAACTATGTGATTTTTGTCTCCTAGTTAAGAAAATTTTTTCCATATATGTTTCAGGATGACTGTGGAAGAAAATGATTTGTGCTTGGCTGTTGTGGACATTACTGGTCAGGATGCCTTCTAGAACTAAAATTAAAATGCTTGATTTCATAAAAACATTATCAGACTTGTATTGCTTAAAATGCTTCAACATGCTTTGAGGCAAATAGAAAAACCTTTCCAGAGTAAAGGTACTAATTCTTATCTAAAGTAATTCTCTTAGATTTCAAATGCAATATCAATAGTTCCATAAATATTTAATATTCTTGATTAAAGTAACACTCATTTTTTTAGGGGAAAAAAATCAAATAAACAAAGATTGAATAGTTCATTTCTTCAAAAGTAAGAAGAAAGAATCCCAAGAAGAGATGCCGTCTTGATAGTGGAAATATAGCCAGAGCTGACTACATTTGTAAGCCTGTAGGCAGGAGACCATGTAGCGGCATCCAGGTCTGGTGAAGGGGCAGGTCTGCTGTTTCATGCCCACTTGAAACAGGCCCCATGTGGGCGTTACTACAGTCCAAGTGGGTCTGCCAGGAGGTAAGAGAACCTGCCCCACTGTATGGATTAAAGGTGGGAAAGAGGGCATTCTGTTGATGTTAACTGAGCAACTTTACATTTCTACGACAATCCTGTTACAGGAAACGGTTTAACTCTCAATTTCAGTTGTTGAAGTAGTTCACTCTGCATCTCAGCAAATTTATTTTACATAAAACCACTGCTATCTTATCTGAACCTATTTTATGCATAACTTTTAAGTTAATATGTGATGTTTCATGTTAAACAAAAGGCCCATAGGTTTTACAATTAATTCTATGTCAGTGGTTTTTAGTATTCTCTTGCAGAGATACTCAACAACAAAATACAAAGTGTATGCTTACCATCAATCCAAAGTATAAACCTGGCTACACTGACTACCATTGGGTAGCAGGTTCTCTAATTCATGAGCTCGAGTCCCTTCCTCCCCCAGTGTCAGCCGTGTTCATGCGGATTAAAGGAGGCTCTGTAATTTAACAATATTTGCAAGTGACTGTATTGACCAAAATCGAAACAAAATTGTCCCTAAGAATAGCTCAAAATGTTAATATTCTCTTTAAGAATATTGAAATATAACCCATTCTCATTAAGGTTACGTACAGCTTCTTCTTATACACATAGGCACTGACATACTATGCAAGGCTGTGAAGAAAATCATTTCTACATGCTGCAGCATAGACAAACACAGACCAGGTGAGCCTGCCTCCAACCACTTCCCCAGACATTCCTCAGCTCCCGGCCATCACAAACCCATCCACCTCAAGTCTAAAATGGAGAACAGATTTTTCTTATTAAAACAACTCTTTGGTCATGGACAAACTAAAATATTTGAATTTTTTTTCTTTCTTTAGGATCCTGGAACAAGGTTTGTTTTTAATCTTTAAAAAAATGTAAGGAATAAGAGAGAGAGAGAGGAAAAAAAACAGCTGGTTTAATTGAAGTGGAACTTAAATCTAAAAGGTCCGCCTGAGCTGAAGGGATTGAACCCTTGCCATGAGTTCCAGCTTCTGTGGAAAGGGTTGCCACCACCTCCTTGTTGGCTCTCTGCATCCAGGGGGTCTTCTCCATCATCAAACTTCTTCCTCATTTCTAGAAAAGAAACCAGCAGAGTGAGACTCAGGTATGGACTCAGATGTGGAGGAGGGGTGGACTGAGGGACTACTTACTTTTCAGTTATTACAACAGGTATGCCTGACACTCAAAAATAGGCTCTCCTAGATCAGAGGTTTCGTCTCAGGAAACAGAGAAACACCAGTCACAGAGAAGGGGTGAGGGCCAGGGTTGAAAATGATACCATTGAAAATCAGACCCCCTAAATCTCTCCTCACAAGAAGCCACCCAAGGAGATGCTTCTCTGGAAAAAATTAGTAACTGCAGAGAAAGCGGCCTCCAGAACAGCCCTGTCACCATCCTGAGCCCAACAAGGAAGTCAGCCTGGCACACGCTGTCTAAAGCCTCACTATTAAATAATGTGAATTTCTTCAGAAATGAGGGGAACGAGGCCACCTCCACGGCTGTGCCTGTCAGTCCCGAGGAAAGTCCCTGATGAGCCAGAGACCAGTGCAGGCAAATGGGAGAAAGGAACACTGCAGGTGGCCGGAGAGCAAGCTCATCCTCAGAGGTTAGAAAAAGCCATTTCATCCTTAAAATAAGAACGGGGGTTGAGAAAAGGGAACCAAGAAACAAAAGGAACTCATAGTAATTAAAAATGCAGTTTTTTTCTCCATGGGCACCTCTGTGACTGCCAGCCCAGCTCCCGTGCAGCTCAGCTGCACAGCCCCCAACCTGTGCACTGTGCAAGCCAGGGACAGAGCCACTCCAGGGAGGTGGTAGACCCTCCTCTGCGGAACAGAACCACCACAGTGTGGAGCCTCCTGCACTCACTAATACACTCTGTCTCCTGGGCTTGATGATAAATTACTTAAGAACAACAAATTGTTTCACTTCAGGTGCATAGTGTAAGTGAGGTGTTTAAGATTTGTCAAATGGACATACAACTTGATTTCCTTCTATTTTTTCCTTAATTTGTCTAGCTCAAGCCATAGCTTCTGCTCCCACTGACACGGGAAGGCAGAAGAATCAGTAGATACTAGCTTACCATTACGTTCCCCTTGGAAATGTCAGTGTTGTTCAAAAATACCTAAATTCTTCTTTCACTCTTATTTCCCAGGCCATTTTGGCGTGTGTTAAAGAACACTTATAGCAGCCAGTAAATCAAATGAACATCTAAGGACAAGATTCCTGGGGACCACACACTGGCAGGCAGCTTCTCTTCCACCACTGCACAGTCCAGCCTGGTTTCCTTATCAAGCTTCTGTCAGTTTGGTATGAAGAATTCATCCCTGAGCTATGAAACTGGGCGAAACCTAAGAGATCCCCCTCACTGTTGTACTTCCATATCACAGGTGAAAAAAAAACAGGAATGTCAAATTCAGGCTTTTTCATTCCCCTGCACCGAGAATATGTGGGTCCCTGAGTCTGACGGGGCAGGCATGAAACTGGACTTCTGAAACTGCAAGCCCACACTAGTCACCAGCCCTTGAAGTGAGCCCAGAGCTGCCTCCCATCCATTCTGACACCACCTCTATGACAGGCAGTGGAAGAGGGAGGCTAAGTCACCTATTGAGCCATTTCAAGAGAATAGAAAATGTTAAAGTCAGGTGCTACCTGGATCAGAGAGGACTTCTTTAGCAGCTGCAATGTCGATGAATTTTTTCTCAGCTTTTTTCTTTTCTTCTTCATTCTGAAAGTTATCTGGGTGCCACTGCATTGCTAATTTTCGGTATGCTTTAATGATTTCTTGCTTTTTGGCATTTCTGAGGGGTATTAAAATTTATTAATAATCATTAGTTAAGAAGTACCCAACACTTCTGGATTAGTTTACTTATAATAACAATTACCTAAAAAAATGATGTTTGTTCAAGGAAGGTTTTCTTATTCAAAAGTACATATTGAGTAAATTAAATACCTTAGTACCTACAAGTTGATTGTTAAAATGCCACTTTATTTAAAGGCCTAGATACGTTTTCTTTTCCCCAACCCCCTCTCTCCCTCCTATCCCCACCAAAAAAAAAATCTCACTCCTAACTCATTACCTTTAAGAAATATAGGCCTAGCCTAGCCAGTGTGGCTCTGTGGTTTAGCATCAACCTATGAACCAGGAGGTCACAGTTTAATTCCTGGTCAGGGCACATGCCCAAGTTGCAGGCTTGATCCCAAGTGTGGGGCGTGCAAGAGGCAGCTGATCAATGATTCTCTCATTGATATTTCTCTCTCCCCCTCTCTCCCTTCCTCTCTTAAATCAAATTTAAAAATATGTATTTTTTTAAAAGGAAATCTAGGCCTAGGATCTATTCATGCTACAGCATCATATCTTTGTCACCAACTACTAATTCTCCATTATTGCATTACTAGTCTCCATCATCCAAGAAAACTGTAATATATTCAAAATAGTTTTATGATGTTAGGCTATTAGGAAAGGAAAGGAATCCGAGAAAGAGGAGCAATGATTAGCTTTAAAACAGTTGAATAAAAATAAAAATGCAAACTTTAAATTAATAATTCACCTTTTTACTCCCAAGATTTTATAATAATCTCTTTTCTGTGACTGTTTCAATAGTCTTTGTGCTTTCTCTAGACCTTCCCGAATCTGCTGGTCATTTTCATTGTGTTCCTGAGCAGTTTCATAATCCTGAATAGCTGTCAAAATATGTTTAAGATAATGCTGTTAAGAGGAATTACAATTTATAACACTTTTACTTATCCTGCAAAATTGACACTGAATCCCCCATCCTCCCCCCCCCCCCAATCTTTTCACTCTTTTGCCATTACTGCTAAAAGCCTAAGAAGTGGTAACCTTAGTAATTTTGTTCACAAACTTACAAAAGACATAATTAAGGAATAATTTAGTAGCTTATTACTCCCAGTCAATAAAATTCACTGGTGTTTGTATACTTTCCCTCCCACATTATCTTACCCATACCTTTTAGCCTTGTAGATATTTTAACATCAGCACTTTAAACAAAGCAATCTTACCATCAATAAGATTAAAGTGATTGTTATACAGGAAAACAAGACAGTGGCAAAGAAAATCTGCTTGGTCAGCTACTGGGTCCACAGTACAGAAGAATTAGAGGCTTAGAAAGGGAGCAAGAGGAACCATCAGCAATCAGAATTACTGTCACCCACAGATTTCAACATAAACTATTACAACCTGATGTTTTTTAAGTATAAATCAAAATAGAAACCCACATACAGACCTTGTATGGGAGGTCTGATAATCCATATTGTATCCTTTCATTTAGATTTAAAATATTTTTAAAAACAGGCGTTTATCTGGATACCTAATGTCATGCAGAAAGGAGTATCCTTAGAACGGTTGGCCCCTGGCAGCATCTGGAAAGTTGGATTTCAGAAGTGTTCCCAACATTCCCTGGTAAAGACTGGCTCACCATGCCGAAACTATTTGTATAAACAACTGTGATTTATACGAAACGTCTTATTTCCTTCTGGAAGGCTTGAATTTGGGTATGAACTAGGCAGCCCCCTGGAAGACAGCACTTCACACTTGTTGAGGAATTAGCTGGTGCTGTATGATTTCACAGAGAGACGCTTGGAATCTTTCACCTGGTTCCCTCTGAATTTTGCCCCATGAGCCTTTCCCTGGTCTTACTTAGTATCCTGTCACTGGACTAAATCTTGGTCCTCAATACAACTACATGCTGAGTCCCATATGTCCTCCTCCTGAATCATCAAATCTGGGGGTGGTCTTGGGAAGCTCCAACACAAATTTTTCCATGTTCTCCCTGGACAGACACCTCAAATAATAGATTGTTGGTTTCAAATTCTAGTTTTTATGGAAATACCTTTCATTGTAAAAAAGACAACTCTGGATAACTTGCCAGGATAGATAATACTGGAAGGGGTTTAACCTTGGGCAAGGTTAAAATGAGAAAGATATTCAAATTTATAAGCCTGAACTACATAGAAAAATAACCAACACTACATCTGTTCCCCCTGCCACTCCCCCCCCCATGAACAAAGGGGGGCCGCTTTAAGCTTTTCTCCTAATTCTGCCTCAACATATTGTTAAATATTAATGAAACACTAAATATCAGTCACCCAATCCACAGTGACATCCTAAAGTATCTTTACAATTTAGTACAAAAATCCGTCATAAATAGTAGCAAGGTTTAACTTTGCAATTAATAACCATAGCATTTGATATCAGAACTTAGTAAGGAAATTACTTTGAAGGAATTTAATACAAGGGGAAATGTCTCAATATATGCAATTTTGCTACTTATACAAACTCTACACTTAAAACATGTTTGCATTCTTAAGTGTTCATAGTATCTCCCCAAAGTAGTCTTCTACATTCTATCTTAAACTTAATATGGATGATGCAAGGCTTTCCATGGGTATAAACTAGATAATTTCTAATTATATTTCAAATTCTACTCTCTGAGGGAATCCTAAAAAAATACTAATTGCCATCTAGTTAGGTATATGCCATACACTGAGCAGCTGTGAAAAATAGAGTAAGCCAGAAATACTAAGGCCCCAAATGAACATTCCTATCTAATTATAGAGAAACATGGTAATTAACCGTAACTTTGCTACCCTTCCCATTGGCTAATCAGTGAGATATGCAAATTAACTGCCAGCCAAGATGGCAGCTGGCAGCCAGGCAGCTGAAGCAAACATGAGGCTTGCTTGCTCCAGTGATGAAGGAAGCCAAGGTTCCCCGCCTGCCACAGCCCAGCTCTGAGCTCCAGATGCAACAATGTTGCAATTATAGAACCTAAACAAACCCCAGATACCTGCTTTCAGCCAGCTTAGCCTCAGAGCTTAAAGCGGCCAGGGTTGGCAACAGAGTTTCAATTATAGAATCTAAAGAAACCGAGATACCTGCTTTCAGCCGGCAACGGCCTCAGAGCTGGAGCCAGCTCTCAGCTCCAGTGACAGCTATAGAAGGTAAATAAATCCCAGAATAAAAAAAAAAGGAGAGGCTGGGAGCTTCAGTT